ACTAAAAATACAAAAAAAAAAATTAGCTGGGCATGGTGGCGTGTGCCTGTAATCCCAGCTACTCAGGAGGCTGAGGCAGGAGAATTGCCTGAACCCAGGAGGCGGAGGTTGCGGTGAGCCGAGATCGTGCCATTGCACTCCAGCCTGGGTTAACAAGAGCGAAACTCCGTCTCAAAAAAAAAAAAAAAAAAAAAAAGAGATGGAGACCATCCTTGCCAACATGGTGAAACCCCGTCTCTACTAAAAATACAAAAAAGTAGCTGAGCATGGTGGCACCTGCCTGTAATCCCAGCTACTCAGGAGGCTGAGGCAGGAGAATTGCCTGAACCCAGGAGGCGGAGGTTGCGGTGAGCCGAGATCGCGCCATTGCACTCCAGCCTGGGTAAAGAGCGAAACTCCGTCTCAAAAAAAAAAAAAAAAGGAGAAACATTATAAAATTTTGCTGAGAATATGTTTCCTTTCTTCATAATGTTCATGCTTCTCACGCTGAGAGTAGGTGTGCAGCTTGGGTATTTAGAGAGACATTTCAGGGGAACATTTTCTGGCTAATTTGATTAATCTTTTGTGTGTGTGTGTGTGACAGAGTTTCAGTCTTGCAGGCCAGGCAGGAGTGCAGTGGCACAATGTTGGCTCACCACAACCTCTGCCTCTGAGGTTCAAGCAATTCTCCTGCCTCAGCCTCCCAAGTAGCTGGGACTACAGGCACCCACTACCACACCTGGCTAATTTTTTGTATTTTTAGTAGAAACAGGGTTTTAACCTTGTTGGCCAGGATAGTCTCGATCTCCTGACCTTGTGATCTGCCCACCTTCACCGCCCAGTGCTGGGATTAACAGGCGAGAGCCACCGAGGTCGGCCTTAACTTAATTAATCTTTTTTTTTTTTTTGAGACGCGGTTTCGCTGGTGTTACCCAGGATGGAGTGCAATGGCGCGATCTCGGCTCACTGCAACCTCCGCCTCCTGGGTTCAGGCAATTCTCCTGCCTCAGCCTCCTGAGTAGCCGGGATTACAGGCACGCGCCACCATGCCCAGCTAATTTTTTGTATTTTTAGTAGAGACGGGGTTTCACCTTGTTGACCAGGATGGTCTCAATCACTTGACCTCGTGATCCACCCGCCTTGGCCTCCCAAAGTGCTGGGATTACAGGCGTGAGCCACTGCGCCCGGCCAATTTAATTAATCTTATATTTGAATTGAATATTTTTTTAAAGATGCTCTTTTTTTTTTCTCTTAAGGTAATTTTGGTAAGGTAAGGGCTGTTTTTCTCTCGAATGCTTTGGGTGTTTCAGAAGCCCTGTTACTATCCTATAGTGTCTATGAATGAGGTGATTTGTCACAGGGAGAACTATTAAAGCTATCTCTCTCCAAACTCAGGCTGAAAATCCAGCAGTATTTTTTTCATGTCACCTTATAAAGTAGAAACTGAGACTGAACCACTGCTCCCATTCCTATCATTGTGAAGGTGCAATTTTACCCGGGAGGCCTGCAGGCTCTCCTCCTGCATCTCAGGCTTCTTTCTCTGATGTGGGACTGGAGTGCTGCTCTGGTAATTGGGGTTCACATAAGATGAGAGCTTCCAGCTGTGAGCCCTGTGGTAGGAGTCAAGAGAGGACACTGACTATCTCGAAAGGGCAAGCAGAATGCTCTAGTCTAGTGCTATGGGGGTAAAGAGCCATTGCTTTATAATGTAAATAATTGAGAAGATAACACCCTAAGTTGCAAAATTACCTTCTGTCATGAGGATGTGACAAGTTAATTTTGTCATTGAATATAACCCATTAGCGTACATGGATCACCTCCCCAATTACCGGGTGAATATTATTTTACTTGTGAACTGATGACGGGAGTGCCTTTTTGTCTTTGCAAGCTCTTGAGAATATTGACTGTGATGCACGTCACATTCTGGTTTAATTATGTAATCGAACAGTTTACTTTCTGTTCTGTCCTTTTGGAGTTTCTCTAGAACTGGAGAAATTTTTTCTTGTAATTATATTTTCCAGACACTGTCTAGAATTACTAGACAGATATAAACACATAAGATTCCAGATAAGGTTTCCTCTAAGAGGGGCTTGTTCCTCTCAGGCTTCCAGTTACCTCAGATTTCTACAAACTTTACAGGGTAACAATCAGCCATTTTACTCAATACTCAAATTATATGGCCAATTACTAGAAATCTCTTGTGCCTTCTTCACAGTTTCTGTTTATTGTTTTGTATGGACACATTCATATTGTTTTGAGTTTAAGTGTCTCATATGACTCTAAGGTAAGGCCAGAATCAAATATGAGAGGTTCAGGATACATTCATGCGAGGTAAGTTTTATTTTACCACCAAAGGGTGGTCACAGGGACTGTTCTGTTTGGGTTTGGTAGCAACAGGGCAGTGTGACCCTTATTTCCATTATTGTAGCAGAAATTGCTGGTGCCTGTGGGAGGAGAGGGTACCTGACAGCAAGAAAGGAGAAACCTATATTTATATCTTCATTGTTTCTGAATCTTTTCTCATATAAGGAACAGAAATGGGTGAACTTTTTCTGAGAGTCTTAGTCCTGCCTGTGGGTGTAGTAGTAGCATGTAAACAAGTGGTCCTGAGACTTTTAAAGATACATTCTTTTTTTTTTTTTTTTTTTTTGGAGACGGAGTTTCGCTCTTGTTGCCCAGGCTGGAGTGCAATGGCGCAATCTCGGCTCACCGCAACCTCCGCCTCCTGGGTTCAGGCAATTCTCCTGCCTCAGCCTCCTGAGTAGCTGGGATTACAGGCACGTGCCACCATGCCCAGCTAATTTTTTGTATTTTTTAGTAGAGTCGGGGTTTCACCATGTTGACCAGGATGGTCTCGAAAACCACTATTAAAAATTATAGAACACAGCTGGGTGTGGTGGCTCATGCCTGTAATCCCATCACTTTGGGAGGCTGAGGCAGGTGAACCACACGGTCAGATCGAAACCATCCTGGCTATCACGGTAAAATCCTGTCTCTACTTTTTTTTTTTCCTTTTTTCCTGTGTCTACTAAAAATACAAAAACTTAGCTGGGTGTGGTAGCACGATCCTGTGGCCCCAGCTACTCGGGAGGCTGAGGTTGCCGTGAGCCGAGATCAGGTTACTGCACTCCAGCCTGGGAGACAGAGCAAGACTGTCTCAAAAAAAAAAAAAAAAAAATTATAGAACAAAGAAAATACCTGTATCTTGGCCGGGCAAGGTGGCTCAAGCCTGTAATCCCAGCACTTTGGGAGGCCGAGGCGGGTGGATCATGAGGTCGAGAGATTGAGACCATCCTGGTCAACATGGTGAAATCCCGTCTCTACTAAAAATACAAAACATTAGCTGGGCATGGTGGCACGTGCCTGTAATCCCAGCTACTCAGGAGGCTGAGGCAGGAGAATTGCCTGAACCCAGAAGGTGGAGGTTGCGGTGAGCCGAGATCGCGCCATTGCACTCCAGCCTGGGTAGCAAGAGCGAAACTCCGTCTCAAAAAAAAAAAAAAAAAGAAAAGAAAAGAAAATACCCGTATCTTGAACTTTGCATACAACTGATGTTTCCGTGTGATTAAATTTGGACTGTAAATTACTTATTGGTGGCAATATTCTGGCATAATGCTGGTCCTTCTTTTAGTACATCATAAATATTTGTCCTATTGCAGTTCATGCTAATGATTCACTTGCTTAAAGAGCTCTCTGACAGATTTTTCACTCTAGAATTGTTTTTTTCTTCTTTATGAAGCTGATGTGCATAAATCATCAGATTTAATCTGGCAGCTGTTCTATTCTCAAGGTTTCTTTTTCTTTTTTTTTTTTTCTTTTTGAGACGCAGTTTCGCTCTTGTTACCCAGGCTGGAGTGCAATGGTGCGATCTCGGCTCACCACAACTTCCGCCTCCTGGGCTCAGGCAATTCTCCTGCCTCAGCCTCCTGAGTAGCTGGGATTACAGGCACGCGCCACCATGCCCAGCTAGTTTTTTTGCATTTTTAGTAGAGACGGGGTTTCACCATGTTGACCAGGATGGTCTCGATCTGTCGACCTCGTGATCCACCCGCTTCGGCCTCCCAAAGTGCTGGGATTACAGGCTTGAGCCACCGTGCCCGGCCTTATTCTCAAGGTTTCTTTGCGTATATCTGTCTTTGGAAAATGAAGGCTTTCATCCCTCTTTTTTAGGCCCTAAAAAATGGGGGGAAAACCCCCAGATTCTTTCACTTACTGGATGTTTGATAAAATATTCTTTTAAGGGGAAAATTATTGGTATTACGTGTGAGTTTGTTGAAAATTTAGCAACTCAGACTCTGTTACAGATCTTCTTCCCCCAAAAAATGACATAACAAGATCTCCAGTCCAGTTTATTTTATATATTAGAATTAGAAACTGGACATGGTGGCTCATACCTGTAATCTCAACTTTGGGAGGTGGAGGCGTGTAGAAAAACACAAGGTCAGGAGTTCAAGACCCGCCTGGCAAACATGGTAAAACCCTGTCTCTACTAAAAATACAAAATTAGCCAGGTATGGTGGCACATACCTGTAGTCCCAACTACTCAGGAGGTTGAGACAGGAGAATCGCTTGTACCTGGGATACAGAGGTTGCAATGAGCCGAGATGTTACCACTGCGCTCTAGCCTGGGTTACAGAGTGAGACTGTGTCTCAAAAATATTGAGATATACATTCTAACTCAACAAGTGTTTTTATCTCAAAAATATACAGAACTCATTCATACTTCATAATGTAAATATAGCACTCAAAAATGTACATATTATGTTCATGCCCTTAATTTTATAGTTTATTCTCCAGAAAATTATCATATATAAACCGATGTTGTAGATCTTATTCCACTATTTTCTCATAGTTAGAGAATATAGCAGAGAATATTTATGTGTTTAAAATTATTTTATTTGGATAATTTCCATCACTTTATAAGTCAGAACCAGTTCTCTTTAGAATTTCATTTCAACTTGAGTGAAATTGAAAATTTTGCCCATGGCCATTTGGTAAATATATGTATGTGTGTTTTTCAGAGACCGCTGACATTTATGGATGTGGCCATAGAATTCTCTCCAGAGGAGTGGCAATGCCTAGATACCACACAGCAGAATTTATATAGGAACGTGATGTTAGAAAACTACAGAAACATGGTCTTCCTTGGTGAGAATAACTTCAATCCACAATTGCTAATATACCCTAAAGATTTTATTTGTAGAATGTTTTTTGGTAATTTATGTTGACATAAATGAGTATCAGATTTCTTTTTTTTGTTGTTTTTTTTTTTGTTTTTTTTTTGAGACGGACTTTCGCTCTTGTTACCCAGGCTGGAGTGCAATGGCGTGATCTCGGCTCACCGCAACCTACGCCTCCTGGGCTCAGGCAATTCTCCTGCCTCAGCCTCCTGAGTAGCTGGGATTACAGGCAAACGCTACTACGCCCAGCTAGTTTTTTGTATTTTTAGTAGAGACGGGGTTTCACCATGTTGACCAGGATGGTCTCGATCTCTCGACCTCGTGATCCACCCGCCTCGGCCTCCCAAAGTGCTGGGATTACAGGCTTGAGCCCCCGCGCCCGGCATCAGATTTCTATTCTAAAGAAAATCGTCGGGGCCAAGTGCGGTGGTTAATGCCTGTTATCCTGGCACTTTGGGAGGCCTTGGTGGGTGGATCACCTGAGGTCAGGAGTACAAGACCAGCTTGGCCAACATGGTGAAACCCCGTCTCTACTAAAAATACAAAAATTAGCAAGGCATGGTGGCACATACCTGTAGTCTTAGCTACTTGGGAGGCTGGGGCAGGAGAATCACTTGAACTCCAGAGGTGGAGGTTGCAGTGAGTGGAGATGGCACCACTGCATTCCAGCCTGGGTAACAGAACAAGAAGACTCCATCTCAAAGAAAAAAAAAAAAAAAAGAATAAGAAGAAAAGAAAGAAAATCTTGGGGATTTGTCAGTGTAGGAAAAAAAAAATTTCAAGACGTTTCATCTTGATCTGAACTTTTTACATTCCTGATCTGTATCCTTGACTCTAAATTAATGTTAATTCCAGAAATTTAGTGGCATAAAATATTGTTTTATGTACCTTAAAGTCTAATTGTCATCACCAGTTTTTGATTCAGTAGTACTAAGTTGAGTAAAATTAAGAACCTACAAATTTAAAACATTTTCTTTCCTTTTTTTTTTTTTGAGACGGAGTTTCGCGCTTTTTAACTGAGGCTGGAGTGCAATGGCGCGATCTTGGCTCACTGCAATTTCCGCCTCCTGGGTTCAGGCAATTCTGTCGCTTAAGCCCCCTGAGTAGCTGGGATTACAGGCAGGCGCCACCATGCCCAGCTAATTTTTTTGTATTTTTAGTAGGGACGGGGTTTCACTGTGTTGACCAGGATGGTCTCAATTTCTTGCCCGGCCAAAACATTTTCTAAATATTTAGAAATATTTCTGTTTTGGGGCCAGCCAAAACATTTTCTAAATATTTAGAAATATTTCTGTTTCGAGGCCGGGCGCGGTGGCTCACGCCTCTAATCCCAGCACTTTGGGAGGCCGAGGTAGGTGGATCACGAGGTCAAGAGATCGAGACCATCCTGGTCAACACGGTGAAACCCCGTTTCTACTAAAAATACAAAAAATTTAGCTGGGCATGGTGGCGCGTGCCTGTAATCCCAGCTACTCAGGAGGCTGAGGCGGGAGAATTGCCTGAACCCAGGAGGCGGAGGTTGCGGTGATCTGAGATCGTGCCATTGCACTCCAGCCTGGGTAACAAGAGTGAAACTCCATCTCAAAAAAAAAAAAAAAAAAAAAAAATTCTGTTTTAAGTTGGCATTTTATAAGTAATTTACTGGAATATTCTATTACATCATCTTTAATGAGCACATTATTTGGAGAATATGAGCAACATTCATGGTACTTATTTTTAATAAAACAGGTATTGCTGTCTCTAAGCCAGACCTGATTGCCTGTCTGGAGCAAGGCAAAGAGCCCTGGAATACGAAGAGACAGGAGACGGTGGCCAAACCCCTAGGTAGGTAAGAGTGAATGCAACAGATGACACAGATGAGAGGTCCTAATGTCAAGGAGAAAGTCAGTTTTTGAAATATGATTTGTGAGCTGTGCTCCAAGGTAGACAGTTTCTGAGAAGCCTGAGGTTTATGAGTTTGCAATGAGAGCCAAAAATCCCCTTTATGGCATATACAAAACTGCAAGATCTGCTTTTTTAATGTTTGGGTGGACACATAGATATCTGTGTAATTTTACAAAACTCTATGTTAAACTATTTTTTAAGTTTTCTTTCTGCATAATGTCTGAAATATGTGAGTAGTGGTTTCTGTTTCATTGTTTTTTGAATTAATTTTTTCCTGCAAGTTCCATCCTGTTTTTATTACTATAAAAACTATTACTATTTTATTATTATTATGTCTTCACAGTAACTACTGTGGTATTTTGATAAGGTATGGAATTGTGATAAGGAGTTTATTGAATGTGTAAATCACTTTGGATAATATGGCACTTTAACAATATTCTTCCAACCCATACACACAAAATATTTTTAAATTTGTGTTTTTTCTAATTTCTTCCGTTGATATCTTCTATCATGTATTATAAAGGTTTTTTAGATGCTTGTTTAAATTTGTTCTGAGAAATGTATTTTAATGCTATTGTTAATAAGATTGTTTTCCTCGTTTATTTATTTTTATTTTTTATTTTTATTTTTATTTTTATTTTTAATTTTTTAAATTTATTTTATTATTTTTTTTTTTTTGAGACGGAGTTTTACTCTTATTACTCAGGCTGGAGTGCAATGGCGCAATCTCGGCTCACTGCAACCTCCGCCTCCTGGGTTCAGTCAATTCTCCTGCCTCAGCCTCCTGAGTAGCTGGGATTACAGGCACTTGCCACCATGCCCAGCTAATTTTTTGTATTTTTTTAGTAGAGACGGGGTTTCACCATGTTGACCAGGATGGTCTCGATCTCTTGACCTCGTGATCCACCCGCCTTGGCCTCCCAAAGTGCTGGGATTACAGGCTTGAGCCACCACGCCCGGCTATTTTTATTTTTTATTTTTTGAGACGGAGTTTCGCTCTTGTTACCCAGGCTAGAGTGCAATGGCGCGATCTCGGCTCACCGCAACCTCCGCCTCCTGGGTTCAGGCAATTCTCCTGCCTCAGCCTCCTGAGTAGCTGGGATTATAGGCATGCACCACCATGCCCAGCTAATTTTTTGTATTTTTAGTAGAGACGGGGTTTCACCATGTTGACCAGGTTGGTCTCGATCTCTCGACCTCATGATCCACCCGCCTCGGCCTCCCAAAGTGCTAGGATTACAGGCTTGAGCCACCGTGCCCGGCCTTTTCCTCGTTTATTTCATCAGATAGTTTAAGTATATGGAACCATATCTTTGTTTTTTTTGTTTTTTTTGTTTTTTTGAGACGGAGTTTCGCTCTTGTTACCCAGGATGGAGTGTGATGGCGTGATCTCGGCTCACCGCAACCTTCGCCTCCTGCGTTCAGGCAATTCTCCTGCCTCAGCCTCCTCCTGAGTAGCTGGGATTATAGGCACGCACCACCAAGCCTAGCTAATTTTTTGTATTTTTAGTAGAGACGGGGTTTCACCATGTTGACCAGGATGGTCTCGATCTCTTGACCTCGTGATCCACCCGCCTCAGTCTCCCAAAGTGCTGGGATTACAGGTGTGAGCCACCGCGCCCGGCCATATCTTATAAATGTATGTTAATTTAATATTTTGCTAATTTACCGAGTATATTCATTAGTTTAGATATGTTTAAATGTACTGTGTATGATTTTTTAAGAATATATGACAGTATATGATCTACCAACAGCAACTTTTTACTTATTTGTCTTCGATGTTAATGGCTTTTTAGAAATTATTTTGACTAATTCTTTTGCCACATACTTTTAGTGCTATGTTAAAATAGAAGCATTGACACTGGGCACAATATAGTTTTGCATAGGTGTCTGTGAATTTGAAGAAACAAACACCTCTTCAAGTTTTTATAAACTGGTTTCAGGAGGTAAAGATCTTGTGTTGGCCCCCCAGGATAATGAGATGCCCTCTAGATTTGTAATGAAGAGGGGTTGTAGGTTGCTCACAAAGCTGCTGGGACTGCGTAATGGTTTACCTTTAGTTGGCTTGTTACAAGGGGCTTGTGTAGTTGTAAATTTTATTTTATTTTTGGACAAATTGAATATCCTTCAGGACTTTGATCTGTAGGGCACACACTAGGCAAGATTCCGTTGTCAGGTCTGTGTATGGTGAGCCTTACATCAGGACGTGAATGTGTATAGCGCTCACTGAGTATCAAAGAGGATTTTCCCAGGTCCTTGTGTGGGTTTCTATGTAGACAGAACTGGCCATGAACTATGGACCAGAGAGCTTGGACCGAGTCATGGAATTGCTTCAGGGACCATAGCAAATGCTAAGGTCTTCCAAACTTGCCTGCATGGCTACAAATTGGTGTCTTCCTCCACACCTCCGGAAGGACAGGACATCTCCCAGACCTAGTCTGGGAGGAGTTTGAGATGGTTACATGGTAAGTTTAGATTTCTCAGTGGGACCAAGTTGGGTGGGCTCTTTTTTAGTCTATAGCCAACAAGAGAGGTCATATAGTTTGCCACCTAAATGAAAGCTTGACTTCTGAAAAGGATGCTCCTCAGTCTTAGGCTTTAACAGAGTTTCACAACTCCCTCCCTGGATCTCAAAGCTCTCCTTTTTAAAACATTTTTTATTTTTATTTTTTGTAAATGGAGCCTCATCTCTGTCACCCAGGCTGGAGTGCAGTGGCTCAATCTTGGCTCACCATAACCTCTGCCTCCTGGGTTCAAGTGATTCTCCTGTCTCAGCCTCCCAAGTAGTTGGGATTGCAGGCATGCACCACCAAACCTGGCTAATTTTTGTATTTTTAGTAGAGACAGGGTTTCAACATGTTGGCCAGGCTGGTCTTAAACTCCTGGCCTCAGGTGATCCACCCTCCTCACCCTCCCAAAGTGCTGGGATTACAGGTGTGAGCCACCATGCCTCGCCGAGTGTTGCTGCGCACCCCAAGCCAGACTTGAAATTTTGGCCTGAAGCAATTCTTTAACCTCAGTGTACCATGTAGCTGACATCACAGTTGTGAGCCATGCTCCCTGCTGTCTCATAAAGACATTTTTGTTAAGGATAGCTCACAAAAAAATAAATCACCTTATTAGCTGGGCATGGTGGCGCGTGCCTGTAATCCCAGCTACTCGGGAGGCTGAGGCAGGAGAATTTCCTGAACCCAGGAGGCGAAGGTTGCGGTGAGCCGAGATCGCGCCATTGCACTCCAGCCTGGGTAACAAGAGCGAAACCTCGTCTCAAAAAAAAAAAAAAAAAAAAAAAATCACCTTTTATTTTTCCATCCTATTGATGTCACTTTATTCATTTTATTTCTACTTTCTTGTTTTTTTTTTTAAGATGGGAGTTTCACCATGATGGCCAGGCTGGTCTTTGACCTCCTGACCTCAGGACCCACCCACCTCAGCCTCCCAAAGTGCTAGGATTACAGGCGTGAGCGAACGCGCCTGACTAGTTTCTACTTTCTATTTCAAATTTGTCTCTAGTTTTGGATTCACACATTTAGGACAGTATGTTAGAATTCAAATGTTATGCTCAAAGTAAATTAGATGCTTAGTAGGCACTACTAAAATTGTCACTTACAAATTTGTGTTCTACAGGCAAAAAGGAATTCTAGAATTTACACCATTTCTTTAGCCTATATCTAAATCAAAACATAATTCCCAAATATTTGTTGCATGTATATCAGAGGCTTTAAGTATATCCTGGAAAACATATTTATTTATTTATTTATTTATTTATTCTAAGACAGACTGTTGCTCTGTCACAGGGCTAGAGTGCAGTGGTGCGATCTCGCCTTACTGCAACCTCCCACTCCCTGATTCAAGCTATTCTTTTGCCTCAGCCTCCCATGTAGCTGAGATTATAGGCATGCGCCACCACACCCAGCTGCTTTTTGTATTTTTAGTAGAAACCGGATGTCACCATTTTGGCCAGGATGGTCTCGATGTCCTGACCTTGTGCTCTGCCCCCCTCAGCCTCCCAACGTGCTGGGGTTACAGGCGTGAGTCACCGCACGTGGCCTTCTTTCTTTCTTTTGAATTTAGCAATATGAGGCTATTCTTTGCTTTTAAATTTAATTTTTTTTTTTTTTTGAGGTGAAGTCTTACTCTCTTGCCCAGGCTGGAGTGCAGTGGCGTGAACTCAGCTCACTGCAGCCTCTGCCTCCTGGGTTCAAGTGATTCTCCCGCCTCAGCCTCCTGAGTAGCTGGAATTACAGATGTGTACCACCATGCCTGGTTAGTTTTTTGTATTGTTGGTAGAGATGGGCCTTCATCATGTTGGCCAGCCTGGTGTCAGAGTTCCTGACCTCAAGTGACTTCCCCACCTCAGCCTCCCAAAGTGCTGGGATTACAGGTGTGAGCCACCGTGGTCAGCCTGCTTCTAAATTTGAATTACCTCAGTTTCATTTTGTATACGAATAACATTTAAAATATGAAAATTACCTCTAGTTTTTGTAATGCTAATTTAGTAAAAGTTTCTCGTTAGAGTCTTCTATTTATGATTATACTGAATTTTCTTTCTTTCTTTTTTTTTTTTTTTTTCCTTTTTTGAGATGGAGTTTCGCTTTTGTTACCCAGGCTGGAGTGCAATGGCACAATCTTGGCTCACTACAACTTCCGACTCCCAGGTTCAAGTGTTCTCCTTCATCAGCCTCCCTAGTAGCTGAGATTATAGGTGCCCAGCACCATGACTGGCTAATTTTTTTTTTTTTTTTTTTGAGACAGAGTTTCGCTCTTGCTACCCAGGCTGGAGTGCAATGGCGCGATCTCGGCTCACCGCAACCTCCGCTTCCTAGGTTCAGGCAATTCTCTTGCCTCAGCCTCCTGAGTAGCTGGGATTACAGGCACGTGCCACCATGCCCAGCTAATTTTTTGTATTTTTAGTAGAGACGGGGTTTCACCATGTTGACCAGGATGGTCTCGATCTGTTGACCTCGTGACCCAGCCGCCTCGGCCTCCCAAAGTGCTGGGATTACAGGCTTGAGCCACCAGGCCCGGCTTTTTTTTTTCTTTGAGACGGAGTTTTGCACTTGTTACCCAGGCTGGAGTGCAATGGCGTGATCTCGGCTCACCGCAACCTCCGCCTCCTGGGTTCAAGCAATTCTCCTGCCTCAGCCTCGCGAGTAGCTGGGACTACTGGCGTGTGCCACCATGTCCAGCTAATTTTTTTTTGTATTTTTAGTAGAGACAGGGTTTCATCATGTTGACCAGACTGGTCTGGAACTTCTCACCTCAGGCAATCCACCAACCTCAGCCTCCTAAAGTGCTGGGATTACAGGCGTGAGCCACTGTGCCCGGCTCATCACACTTTGTTAAATAATGAATATACATTTCCTTTGTATGAGAGAACCACATTTGTGATTTGAAGTTAATTTTTGAAAAGATTTGTAATTCTGTACTTCTTTAGTTCTTCTAAAAACATTGTAAAACAAACAACATAAAATTTACTATTTCACATCTATTTAAGGGTACATATTAGGGCTATGCATGGTGGTGGCTCACATCTGTAATTTCTGGAATTTTGAGAAGCCAAGAAAAGAGAATCACTTTAGTCCGAAAGTTTTAGATACCTGGCCCACATGTAAAGACCTTTTCTCTAGAAAAAGAAAAAGTTTAAAAATAACTAGTTATGGGTGGTGTGCATCTGTAGTCCCAGCAGCTTGGGAGATTGAAGAGGGAGGATTACTTGAGGCTGGGAGTTTGAGGCTACAGTGAGCCATAATTGAGCTACTGCATTTCAGTTTGGGTGACAAAGTAAAACCGTGTCTCAAAAAAGCTGTAAATTTTAGGCATGTAGAGTATATTCACCTGGTTATGCAAAATACTTCTGGAAATTCTGTAACTTGTAAAATTAAAACTCAATATCCATTAAGTAACAACTGCCCATTTCCCCCTCTCTCCAGCCCTTGACAAATACCCTTCCACTTTCTGTTTTTACAAGTGTGACTCTTTAACTTATCTCATATGAGTGGAATTATACAGTATTTGTCATTCTGTTACTGGCTTATTTCAGGTGATACAATATTTTCAAAGTTTATCTTAAAATTTTACAGGTTTTTTTTTTTCTTGAGACAGTCTCGCTCTGTTATCCAGGTTGGAGTGCGTGCAATGGAGCAATCTTGGCTCACTGCAACCTCCACCTCCCAGGTTCAGGCAATTCTTCCACCTCAGCCTCCCATGTAGCTGGAATTACAGGTACCCACCATCATGCCTGGCTAATTGTTTTTGTATGTTTGTAGAACGGGGTTTCAGCATGTTGCCGAGGCTGGTCTTGAACTCCTTACCTCTGGTGGTTTACCTGCCTTGGCCTCCCAAAGTGTTGGTTTTGCAGATGTGAGCCACTGCGCCCAGTCAAGAGTTTTTTTAAGGCTAAATAATATTCTATTGTATGTAACATAACATTTTTTGGTGTGTTGTTTTTATTTTTATAGAGATGGGGTTTCACCATGTTGGCCAGGCTGGGCTTGAACTCCTGACCTCAGGTGATCCACCCACCTGGGCCTCTCAAAGTGCTAGAGTTACAGGCATGAGCCACTGCACCTGGCCCATTTTTTGATGGGTTTATAGATCAAAAGACATCTGGGTTACTTCAGCCTTTTGGCTTTTGTGAATACTGGTTCAATAAAATAGGTATTTATATAACACTTCTAGGTCCTATGTTGCATACTTTGGATACTGATTCACAAATGGGATTGCTATATTTAATTATAATTCCATTTAAAAAATAATGGCAGCATCCTCGTTTTCCACCAATAATCAAGATAGGTTTTATTTTCATAGCATCATCAACAAATCTGGTGTTGTTTGTTTTGGAACAGTCTCGCTCTGTTGCCCAGGGTGGGGTGCAGTGGTGTGATCTCTCCTCACTGCAACCTCTGCCTCGTTCACGTGAGTCTTCTGACCTTGTGTTCCCCACTCTTAGGCCTCCCAATGTGCTGGGATTATAAGTGCAAGCCACTGTGCCTGGCCAGATTTGTTGTTGTTGTTGTTGTTGTTGTTGTTGTTGTTGTTTTCCTGAGACAGAATTTTACTCTTGTTGCCCAGCCTGGAGTGCAATGGTGTGATCTCAGCTCACTGCAACCTCTGCCTCCTGAGTTCAGGCAATTCTCCTGCCTCAGCCTCATGAGTAGCTGGGATTACAGGCATGCGCCACCATGCCCAGCTAATTTTTTGTATTTTTAGTAGAGACGGGGTTTCACCATGTTAACTAGGATGGTCTCGATCTCTTGACCTCGTGATCCACCCGCCTCGGCCTCCCAGAGTGCTGGGATTACAGGCTTGAGCCACCGCGCCCGGCCCGACAATGAATTTTTGTATGATTGTCATTTCTTGAATCATGTTATTTGCAGTAAAAGAAACTGCCTTCAGCATCTTATATGTAGGGCATATGCAGTGCCAATGTACTTTCTCAGAATTTGGGTTATTTAGGAAGGCTTTTTTCTTCCTATTTGGCAGGACAGATTACCTGATGGTGTTATTCTCACTTGATAGCTTTTCTTTCGAGGAGTTTGACTGTATCACACCGTTTTCTTCTGGCCTGCAAACTTTTAGATATCAATTCACTGGTTATCTCATAAGAAGACCATGTTTGTACATGACACATGGCTTTTATCTTGCAGCTATCAAGATTGTCTTGTGTAACTTTTAAAATTGTGCTTAATTTGTGTTTCTTGCTTGATCTGGTGGCTCACGCCTGTAATCTCACCACTTTGGGAGGCTGAGGCAGATGGATCACAAAGTCGAGTTCAAGACCAGCCTGGTCAAGTTGGTGAAACTGCATTTCTACTAAAAATACAAAAATTAGCTGGGTGTGGTGATAGGCGCCAGTGATCCCAGCTACTTGGGTGAGGCTGGAGACTCACTTGAGCCCAGGAGGCAGACATTACAGTAAACGGAGATCGTGCCATTGCACTCCAACCTGGGCGGCAGAACAAGAGTCCGCCTCAGAAAAAAAAAAAAGTCTGTTTCTTTTTTTTGCTCCTCAGAAAAGTATTACCAACATGAATGGTCTGTGTTTCTTATAAGCATATTTGTGCTTATTTTTATAAGCATAAGTTTCTTTGTTCAGCTTCTTTATTTTTACAACATATTTTATTTTAGGATTTTTCAGCTGTAATTTCTTTTTGTGTTTTTTACCCCTGCAATTTTTTTTTTTTTTAATATTTTTGTTCTTACCATCAGTTTTCAGAGTTTTGATAGTTTTATGTTTTTCTGTTGTACTTATTGAGTATTATTTACTTTAAATCAATTTTTTAAATTAATGTGTACTTTTTCAGTTTCTTTCTGAAAACTTTATAACACTCTTGAGGTGACTATATTGTCCTATTTTATATATACTGTAATCTTTAATTGAAACATGGATATCTAAAAAATCTACCTGTCACAATTTTTATACTGTAGCTGTGTCCTGGCATAGTCAGAAAAAATTTTCTCAGCTAGAGATTCTGAGAGTCTCTTAAACATATTCTTAATATGTATCTTCTGTGAAATTTTGTATTTATTTTTTGTTTAAAAAAATTTATTCATGTTTCTTAATAATCAGTCACCACATGCTAATCCTGTTCCCTGTTTGTGATACTACCCTCTCTCTGCTGCTGTAACATTTAGCTTTGGATTCAGCAGATTCAAACTGTCATTCCAAAGCACACTAACATTTCTTTCAGCACTTTATGTCATGGGAGACAGAATCCAGTGTCTAGAAAACTTGGACAGTGTCTCGAAATGGAAAAATAAAAGATGTATGTGCCCGTGTTCTACTTATCTTTAAAAAACAAAAACAGGCTTGGCTATTCACTTCTTTTTTTTTTTTTTTTTTTTAATTCCCCTGAGACAGAGCCTTGCTCTGTTGCGCCAGCGGGAGTGCAATGGCGAGATCCCGGCTTACTGCAACCCCTGCCTCCTGAAATCAAGCCATTCTCCTACCCCCGCCTCCTGAGTAGCTGGGATTACAGGCACCCAACACCATGCCAGGCTAATTTTTGTAGTTTCAGTAGAGACGAAGTTTTGCCATGTTGGCCAGGCTGGTTGTGAACACCTGACCTCAGGTCATTTGCCTGCCTTGGCCTACCTTAGTTATGGCATTACACGCATGCGCCACCATGCCCAGTCAAGTATTGACTTCTAAAGGCACTATGTGGTATTGGTGGGGAGATGGAAGAGCTGTGTTGCATAAACATAACAAACTTTTCTTTTTATTCTTTGTGGCTGTTTGCATTGTGCTCACTTTCTGGGGCATTGTACACACTTAACTCATTTATAAATTTTTCACAAATGTATTTTGGTCTGTATATTTTTATTACATTTATATGTCTGTAAAGAAATTAGGACCTTTGGTATTTTGCTACACAATTTTTTTTTTTTTTTGAGACAAGGTGTTGCTCTGTTGTCCAGGCTGGAGTGCAGTTATTTGATCGCAGCTCACTACAACTTCTGCCTCCTAGGTTCAAGCAATTCTCTTGCCTCAGCCTGCTGAGTAGCTGGGATTACAGGTGCACACTACCACACCTGGCTATTTTTGTTTGTTTGTTTGTTTGTTTGTTTTTTTTGTAAAGATGGGTTTCACCATGTTGGCCAGACTGGTCTCAAACTCCTGACCTCACGTGCCTGTCTCAGCCTCTCAAAGTGCTGGAATTATAAGAATGAGCTACCACACCCAGACTTGTTATTCAATCTTGTTTATGTAGTTTGTATAATTTTATAGATGAGACTTGTAAGGAATATGTATCTGACTGTAGTATGTGGATTCAGTTGTTACTCTTATTTTTTTCAGGTATGTGTTCCTATTTTGCCCAAGACCTTTGGCTAGAGGAGAGTGTAAAAGATTCTTTCCAAACAATAATACTGAGAAAATACGAAAAATCTGGATATCACAATTTACAGTTAAAAAAAGGGCATAAAGGTATGGATGAGTGTAGGGTGTACAAAGGAAGTTGTAATGGACAGTGTTTCACAACTACTCAGAGCAAAATATTTCAATGTGATAAATATGTGAAAGACTTTCATACGTTTTCAAATTCAAAAAGACATAAGACTGAAAAGAATCCTTTCAGGTGTAAACAGTGTGGCGAATCATTTTGCATTCTTTCACACCTAACTCAACATGAAAAAATTCACACTACTGTGAATTCCTACAAACTTGGAGAATGTGGCAAGGCCTGTAACGTATCCTCAATCCTTTCTCAACGTAAAATAATTCATACAGGACAGAAACACTACAGATGTAAAGAAAGTGGCAAAGCTTTTAACAAGTCCGCACACCTTAACACACATAAGATAATTCATACTGGAGAGAAATCCTACACAACTGAAGAATGTGGCAAAACTTTTAACGTATCCTCACACCTTACTACACGTACGATAATTCATACTGCAGAGAATGCCTACAAATGTAAAGAGTGTGGCAAAGCTTTTAACCAGTTGTCAACTCTTACTAGACATAAGAAAATTCATGCTGGAGAGAAACCCTTCATATGTGAGCAATGTGGCAAAGCTTTTAACCAATCCTCCAACCTTACTAAACATAAGAGAATTCATACTGGAGATAAACCTTATAAATGTGAAGAATGTGGCAAAGCCTTTAATGTGTCCTCAACCCTTACTCAACATAAGAGAATTCATACGGGGGAGAAGCCTTACGAATGTGAAGAGTGTGGCAAAGCCTTTAATGTGTCCTCAACCCTTACTCAACATAAGAGAATTCATACTGGAGAAAAACCATACAAATGTGAAGAATGTGGCAAAGCCTTTAACACATCCTCACACCTTACTACACATAGGCGAATTCATACGGGAGAGAAACCCTACAAATGTGAAGAATGTGGCAAAGCCTTTAGCCAGTTCTCACAACTTACTACACATCAGATGATTCATACTGGGGAGAAACCTTACAAATGTGAAGAATGTGGCAAAGCATTTAAGCAACTCTCAGCCCTTACTGCACATAAGACCATTCATACTGGAGAGAAACCCTACAAATGTGAAGAATGTGGCAAAGCTTTTAACCTATCCTCACACCTTACTACACATAAGAAAATTCATACTGGAGAGAAACCCTACAAATGTAAAGAATGTGGCAAAGCTTTTAACCAGTCCTCAACCCTTGCTAGACATAAGATAATTCATGCTGGAGAAAAACCCTACAAGTGTGAACAATGTGGCAAAGGTTTTTACCAATACTCAAACCTTACTCAACATACGATAGTTCATACTAGAGAGAAACCCTACAAATGTGTAGAATGTGGCAAAGCCTTTAAATGGTCCTCAACTCTCACTAAACATAAGGCAATTCATACTGGAGAGAAACCTTACAAATGTGAAGATTGTGGCAAAGCTTTTAATAAGTTCTCAACCCTTACTACACATAAGGCAATTCATGCTGGAGAGAAACACTACAAATGTGAAGAATGTGGCAAAGCCTTCAACTGGTTTTCAAACCTTATGGAACATAAGAGAATTCATACTGGAGAAAAACCCTACAAATGTGAAGAATGTGGCAAAGCATTTAACTGGTCCTCAACTTTCACCAAACATAAGGTAATTCATACTGGAGAGAAACCCTATAAATGTAAAGAATGTGGAAAAGCTTTTAACCAATGTTCAAACCTTACTACACATAAGAAAATTCATGCTGTAGAAAAATCTTAAAAAGAATGTGGAAAAGCTTTTAACCGATCATGAACTCACAAAACATAAGATAATTTATGCTGGAGAGAAACCCAGAAGTGTGAATAATGTAGCACAGCCTTTAACAAGTCCTTAATTCTTCGCAGACATAATTCCTACTGGAGAGGAACTGTACAAACCTGAAAGATGTAACAATGCAATTTACAACACCTCAACATTTCTAAATGTAAAAGAAATAATGCTGGTGCAAAATCCTAAAAATGGAAAGAATATTACAAAGATAAATGGTTGTCATACTTGATTGTAGGTAAAATACTTTGTACTGGAGAAAACCTACAAGTGTGAAGAATATAGCAAAATTTTAACTGCTGCTGACAAAACTATGGCTTTGGCTGGGCACAGTGGCTCATGCCTATAATCCCAGCATTCTGGGAGGCTGAGGCAGGTGCATCACCTGAGGTCAAGAGTTTGAGACCAGCCTGGCCAACATGATGAAACCCCATCTCTACAAAAAGTACAAAAAAATTAGCTGGGTGTGGTGGCGCATGCCTGTAGTTCCTGCTACTTGGGAGGCTGAGGGAAGAGAATCACTTGAACCCAGGAGGCAGAGGTTGCAGTAAGCCAAGATCACGCCACTGCACTCCAGCCTGAGCAACAGAGCAAGATTCCATGTCAAAAAAGAAAAATCACTGTCAAAAGATTTTTCAGAAACTGCGAGCCTTTAAAGTGAACAAGAGTATTTATTTTGAAGACAAACATTAAAATACGAGCTGAATGTGGTGGCTTACACCTGTAATTTGAGCACTTTGGAGTCTGGGGTGGTTGGATCACTTGAGGTTGGAAGTTTGAGACCAATGTGGCCAACATGGTGAAACCGTTTCTACCTAAAATACAAAAATTTAGGGCCGGGCGCGGTGGCTCAAGCCTGTAATCCCAGCACTTTGGGAGGCCGAGGCGGGTGGATCACAAGGTCAAGAGATCGAGACCATCCTGATCAACATGGTGAAACCCCGTCTGTACTAAAAATACAAAAAATTAGCTGGGCATGGTGGCACGTGCCTGTAATCCCAGCTACTCAGGAGGCTGAGGCAGGAGAATTGCCTGAACCCAGGAGGCGGAGGTTGCGGTGAGCCGAGATCGCGCCATTGCACTCCAGACTGGGTAACAAGAGCGAAACTCCGTCTCAAAAAAAAAAAAAAAAAAAAAATTTGGTGGGCGTGGTGGTACATGACTAATCCCAGCTATTTGAGAGCTTGTGACAGGAGAATTGCTTCAACCTGTGAGGCGGAGGTTGCAGTGAGCTGAGATTGTGCCACTGAACTCCAGACTGGGTGAAAAAGTGAGACTCGATCTGAAAAAAAACTATACATATATATATATATATATAGAGAGAGAGAGAGAGAGAGAGAGAGAGAGAGAGAGAGAGTTGTATTACTATTACTTATATGACAGATTTTTTTTTTCTTTTTCTTTTTTTTTTTTTTTTGAGACGGGGTTTCGCTCTTGTTACCCAGGCTGGAGTGCAATGGCACGATCTCGGCTCACCGCAACCTCCGCCCCCTGGGTTCAAGCAATTCTCCTGCCTCAGCCTCCCTAGTAGCTGGGACTACAGGCGTGCGCCACCATGCCCAGCTAATTTTTGTATTTTTAGTAGAGACGGGGTTTCACCATGTTGACCAGGATGGTCTCGATCTCTTGACCTCGTGATCCACCCACCTCGGCCTCCCAAAGTGCTGGGATTACAGGCTTGAGGCACCGCGCCCGGCCGACAGATTTTATTGTACACATTTTGTACAAGCAACTCAAACTTTGTTCAACATGGAATTTATACTGAAGAAAATCTCTGCAAATGTAATAAATTTTGAAAAACTTTTTAAAACACAACCTACAGCTTAGGAAACACCAGAGAGTTTGTAATAAAATGTATTTTTGCAGATGTGATATAAAAAATGAGTTATTTGAAAATTATGTAAATATTGAGAGTAGAAATATCTAAGGAACTGACTTCAGACACTACACTAAATCAGAGTACTGAGTTTAGAACATAATTTAAAGTTGAAGTTGATACATAAATATTTTTTATATAACTTTAAAAGGGTATAAGATATTTTGGAGAGGTATAATTACATTCAAAATATACTTTTTTTTTCTTTTTTTTTAAGACAGAGTCTTGCTTGGTCACCTAGGTTGGAGTGCAGACTCTGCCTCCCAGGTTCAAGTGAATCTCCTGCCTCAGCTCCCAAATAGCTGAAGTTATAGACATCAGCCACTATGCCTGGCTAACTTTTGTATTTTTAATAGAGATGGAGTCTCACCATTAGCCAAGTTGGTCTGGTACTCCTGACCTCAGGCGATTCAGCCTCCAAAGGTGTTAGGATGACAGATGTGTGCTGCTGTGTCCAGCCAAATCTTTTTCTTGAAAAAAGATTTTTTTGAGTACATGAATAAGGATGTAATTCAACTTTTAAATTGATGACTGTATCTTTATTCCTATTGTATTCACATGTGAAAATGTGGTGAATTGTTCCTGCATCAAAGATATGAGAGATTCTTTTTTATTAGGTGAGCATTATTTATTACTTTTTCTATTAAATAATAAAGACATTAAAATATAAGATGCATGATGCAAATCTAAGTAGGGATGCTCTTTGTGGTTAACTTACAATATTTACTGATGGCTGAGGTAGCTGTTCAGTTTAATATTCTGCATTGTGAGAGAAATATTTTTTAGTTAAAATTAATAGTGTGTGTGTATATATATATATATATATTTTTTTTTTTTTTTTTTTTTTTTTTAAGACGGAGTTTTCCTCTTGTTACCCAGGCTGGAGTGCAATGGTGCGATCTCGGCTCACTGCAACCTCCACCTTCTGGGTTCAGGCAATTCTGCTGCCTCAGCCTCCTGAGTAGCTGGGATTACAGGCACGTGCCACCATACCCAGCTAATTTTTTGTATTTTTAGTATAGACGGGGATTCACGATGTTGACCAGGATGGTCTCGATCTCTTGACCTCGTGATCCACCAGCCTCGGCCTCCCAAAGTGCTGGGATTACAGGCGTGAGCCACTGTGTCTGGCAAAATTAATAGTATATTATTTTACTAATTGTACTTTTATGTGATAAAATCCAGTAAATTTAAAAATCTTGAAGTTATGTATAGACTTAATTTTTGAATTTAACATTTTTAACATGTTCAATACTATTGTGCACTCATTGAAGCAGTATTTTGCTACTGACCTTAACCCATTCCACCTTAAGAGTGTAGGTAAAAGATGATAACAATATATTTGTTGACATAATAAAGTACCATCTCTAGTAATCTTTTTTTGCCAATGGCTTTAAACTGCAAAAAAGTTAAAGAATGTTGTTCTTGAAGGTTAAATTTTTATTTTTCTTTGTCATTTAAATTTACATAATTTTTTGGGTGTGTAGTATGTGTATACCTTTTTTTTTTTCTTTTTTTCTTTTTCTTTCTTTCTTTTTTTTTTTTTTTTTTTTTTTTTTTTTGAGGCGGAGTTTCGCTCTTGTTACCCAGGCTGGAGTGCAATGGCGCGATCTCGGCTCACCACAACCTCCGCCTCCTGGGTTCAGGCAATTCTTCTGCCTCAGCCTCCTGAGTAGCTGGGATTACAGGCACGTGCCACCATGCCCAGCTAATTTTTTGTATTTTTAGTAGAGACGGGGTTTCACCATGTTGACCAGGATGGTCTCGATTTCTCGACCTCGTGATCCACCCGCCTCGGCCTCCCAAAGTGCTGGGATTACAGGCTTGAGCCACCGCGCCCGGCTTTCTTTTTTTTTTTTGAGACAGAGTTTCGCTCTTGTTACCCAGGCTGGAGTGCAATGGTGCGATCTCGGCTCACCGCAACCTCCGCCTCCTGGGTTCAACCAATTCTCCTGCCTCAGCCTCCTGAGTACCTGGGACTACAGGCACGCGCCACCATGCCCAGCTAATTTTTTGTATTTTTAGTAGAGACGGGGTTTCACCATGTTGACCAGGATGGTCTCAATCTTTTGACCTCCTGATCCACCCGCCTCAGCCTCCCAAAGTGCTGGGATTACAGGCTTTTGCCACTGCACCTGGCCCGTATGTGTATACATTTAAGCCACATATGGCATATTTTGATACTTGCATACAATATGTAATAATCACCTCATGGTAAATTAGATATCTGTCACCTCTAGCATTTATTCTTTGTATTACAGAAAATTTAGTTTTACACTTTTTGTTATTTTAAAATGTACAATTGTTACTGATGACTGGTCATGGTGGCTTTAAGCTTGTACTCCTCGCACTTTGGAAACCTGAGGTGGGTAGATCACCTGAGGTCAGGAATTTGAGACCAGTGTGGCCAACATGTCAAAACTCCGATTTGTACTAAAGATACAAAAATTATTGGGCTGGGCACTGTAGCACACCCCTGTAATCTCAAAACTTTAGGAGGCTGAGGCAGGTGGATCACGAGGTCAGGAGTTGCAGACCAGCCTTGCTAATGTGGTGAAACCCTGTCTCTGCCAAAGACACAAAAAGTTAGCTGGGTGTGGTGGTGGACTTCTGTAATCCCATTTACTCTGGAGACTGAGGCAGGAGAATCATTTGAAAGTGGGAGGTGGAGGTTGCAGTGAGCTGAGATCATGACACTGCACTCCAACCTGGGCAACAGAGTGCGACTTTGTCTCAAAATGAGTAAATAGTATGACTGACTACAGGGTAATTTCTTTGGTTATAATATTATTTAGAAGTATTAATAATATCCATACATTTGTGAGTCTTGAATACTTTTTTTTTTTTTTTTTAGACGGAGTTTTACTCTTGTTACCCAGGTTGGAGTGCAGTGGCACGATCCCGGCTCACCGCAACCTCCGCCTCCCGGGTTCAGGCAATTCTCCTGCCTCAGCCTCCTGAGTAGCTGGCATTACAGACACGTGCCACCATGCCCAGCTAAATTTTTTGTATTTCTAGTAGAGACGGGGTTTCACCATGTAGACTAGGATGGTCTCGATCTCTCGACCTTGTGATCCACCCGCCTCGGCCTCCCAAAATGCTGGGATTA